AAAAAGAATGATCATGCAGCAAAATCCAAGGATGAATCAGATACCTCAGGATACCTTCTTCTGAACGACTGCATGCACGAATTACTTCCAGCAAAAAACGATTACTTTGGTATCATACAATTTTCTCATTGATTCTCGATGCCCAAGAAAATTCAGTCATAATTCATGAAAACAATGTGTAGAAGTATTCATTCTTTGCTAATTCGTTGGCAAATTACGCCTTCATCCAATTGTATATTCGACGGAAGTGTATAATTCGGTTTTAAAAACTTTTATAATTCCGAATATTATTGAACCCCACTTACTGTTATAATTGCATGCGGGTTTTCAAGAGCGCAAGCCGTGTTATTTTCGTGTACGAAACTGCCTTTATTTTTCTTAGGGTATTAAAAGGAGATTATATGCGCCTCACCAAATGAGGCCGTGAATTTGACGAATATTGTCAACTTTACATCCCACATTAGTAAATGCAGATTCATAACGTTGTATGAACGTCCACCTCACGGTATAAAAAAATCTCACAAACAGAAGCTTATCACAATCGCATCGTACTCGTTTTTCGAATATACAATTAAAAGCAGACGCAATTTTCTAGCGCATAGGTAAAGGAATTAAAAGTTTCATAAATTTTTGTACATGCAATATAATTGAAATATTAATAACATTGAGAGTAAAAGAGAAAGTTTAATGCTGCCTAAATAGTCGATTTTACCAGCATAGGGCGGGTGTTTTAGAAGTTCAAGTCGTTTGGGGCTTGATTATTAATATGTACACAATTAACCAATTTACCGTAGATGAGCTAACTCATACCGTCCACGGAAATTAGGAAATGCATTTCCGTTTGCATACGATTAATTAGGTGTGGTAGCAAAACCAATCATAACTCAGCATGATTCTCTAATAACGCGGTCACCTCAGATTACCGGCTGCATGCGCAAATCACGCTCTGTAAAAAGAACACATAATCAGAATACGTCTCTTTCACTTATTGACGATGTCCTTAAAATTAATTTATTTTTCATTTAAAAAATGCATAAGACATATCTATTCTTTTACTCATATGGTATAATCCTACGTACCCTTCCACATGTATGCTGAAACGGTTAGTATCATTTGGCTTCAAGAAGTATCATATTGTGAGAGTTTTTAATAAACAGAAATGGCCGTTCATGAAACGCCATGTCTCTGCAGTTAACACTGTGGCCGGTAAAGTTAAGAATATGACTTAAATCCACTATTAACATTCATAAATTCCTTACATTTTCCACTCAAAACCGTAGAATAATATATGGTTTTCCATATGCAGAAAATATATGGTTCGCAAGTCAAAAAGCCAGATTGCAATTATAAATAAAATCAGGTTCAAAATAAGTAGACAGTAGAAAAAAATTTTAAAAAGCGAATTATGTCCTGTATTTGAAAACCATATTTTAAAACAACTGTATTATTCCAAATGAACATACACATGAATATGTTATGGATGTGCTTTATGCAGTATAACGGATTATTTAAGGGCTTCAAAAATCGATGCGTAAAATGCATGCTATTTAAGTTTCCATTTTTGCAGGCATTCTATTTAGCATACAGCAGAAAATAAATACATTCAAAAGCTGGCATTCCAGGGTAACTGAATTATCTTAGAAATGTGCTATTTAATGATTAGCATTTAACCTCGTTTACTTATGATTTTCGAAGTAGAAACGTACGTAGGAATTTCGGTTAACATTTCGTGAGTTTGCACACCTATTCTATCTCTCTACGTCAATCAAATTTGGCCATATATGTGTTTGAAAAATCTAACAGTCAAGCTGTGCCATGCTGTCAACCTTTTATCAAACTACAGCAAACACATACGTATAAGACCATAAAATATTAAAGAAAAAAATGTATGCGACTTAAGCAGTCGTTTCTTGCTGAGTATGATGTCTACAGAAGATTAAGAATAAGTACATTGACAATCGAAATAAAATAGGTAGTCTGATATGTTATAGGATAATACTGCAATATATTCAGTATTGAAAATTCACCTAAGTAATTCTTTCTAATCGAAAACGCATTTCAATTTAGGTTAGCATTTTATGAGGAAGGTCGCTCACCGTACTTCATGAGTGCATGATTGCATACACTAGTATGGTTTCAAGGCAAATGCGTGCTTTTTAAATATAGTTCTCCACCGCAGGTCTCATGTATCTTGTCAGAAACTTTTTCTAACTAGCAGAAAATCTAAAGGAGCTCGTTAGAATGCTCTACATGAAGCAAAACTGATTCCATCAGTATTTTTTATTTTTCTCCCCAAAATAGCATTATCTGCGTTTAAGAAGTTTACTTTTCAGATCGGGAAATGTCCACACAAAATTATCGTACTTGTCCGCCTAGCAATTTTTCTCCTGAATTACGCAACACAGATCAATAAGACAACAAGTTTGAAGAATCCCGCTATTACGGTTTAGACAGACAAATAGAAATGACTTGTAAAGCGCAATTAAACCCGCCCAAAAAGGGGATGAATACTAATAGCAAAAGTTCCTAGAGCGGATGTTGATATGCAAAATTTATGTATAAAACTAATATAATAAACGAATCAGAAAAAGCATACAAACCCGGTTCAAATGACTGAAAAGGTCTCATGCATGAAGATTTTACACGTGCAGGCAGGTAAACAGAAATAGTGACAAATTATGCATTGCCGAGTCGATCAATTTGGCGTCAGATTAACTTTTGCAGAGTCCGATCGCAGGGGCGTTTTCAAAACTTAATCAATATACCGAAGGCGGAGGAGGGGGGGGGTTGGCACGACCGAACCCGCATTAGAACGCATCACAAAGTCTCGTGATTGACAATAAACGGGTTAACGAAACTTTCGAATAGCAAACACAACAATTGAAAAAATCGAATGCTGGGCAGCCATGTACATGACCTGTTTCCCGTCGGGAACGCAGGCGCACCTACCGTCAGGGAGCCAGGCGGCAGAGACCTGTCAGCGCACACTACGCTGCAAGCTTAAGGGCTTGTTGAATCATGGCATGCAAGATACACACACACTCACACACACACGTGCCCAAGGCCTCTGAGCAAATCGCATAGCCATTATTTGCTTCTATGCGCATACTTTTTGCTTATGTGATATTTTTACATAAATGAAGACAGACGTACAGAAAGACAGTTTATCCGCCTTTGAGAAGCATGACCTGCAGTTGGTTTATTGTACTGCTTACGTTGATTCAGCAAATGCGGCTAACGTTGACCTGTCGGAAGGTCATGGAGACGCGTAGGTTATATTACTGCGACTCATTCCTAAACTCTATCTACTATTGTACCATATTATTTATTTTAGTCTCTTGTTCGTCTACGAGCGTATTTTACATCGCAATATGGATTTATGTGCATGGGGGACCGTGCACTACAACAGTGTAAGATGTATCGAACTTTTTTGCCACTGCATGAATTTTCGTGCAAAAAGAGTGCACTGACAGTGTAGTGCCGGATAGCCAGTATTTGGTTGGTAATAGAACCAGTAGATCTTTCATTTACATTTAATTTTGATGAGATTGGCTTTCAGTGAGTGACTGATTTTATGAAATGTTGTCCGAAGTTCTGATATTCTGAATTTCTGAAATTCAGATTAGAAAGTTGTTTATGGCGTGGCTGTAAAACTGCTTATCTTACGGCACGATACACTTATATGGGGCACGTAGATGGATATCGGCTTTAGAATTTACTTTCTTTTCATCTTTCTGTTAAAAGCGTAGTCGGCAATTAGTAGCCGCTTAGTAGCATGCATGCATTTTCACATTGATTGTCAGCGGTCCTATGCATTCAAATATGTGTTATTAATGTCATTCGCATACATGTGCTTTTTACTCGAGACGTACATATTTTACCCGACGAATGTGTATATTAAGGTTTTCAACAATCTTTCCACAAACCGTTAATTTTCGAACCTGTTTAGATATTGCATTAGCGTTTTCCGGTTTTAAATGTGAAAAGCGCATTCCTCCCTCGTAAATAAAGTGAAATATTCATATTTGCCTTTAAGGAGATACTATATAGAGTTTATTAAATTTCGCAGTGAATGCAGATTATGTTGCCCATTTTTAAGGAGCATCTGCAAACGCACATGTACGGCTCTGTACGCATACCCGTCGCAAGGGATTAAAAGCTGATATCGAAACGTGTATTTAAACCAAAATGTCCCATTTTGCAGGGTATATAATTCGTTAACAATTTCATTTCCTAGGGAACAAGTTACTAACAGTTTAACTTGTGCCAGTTTTCTGCAATGTATATTTGATTGAATATGACTGTTGAAAATGATTGTAAAAACGCGTGCATATGACGTGGTGATTGTTGCGGAGTTTGAATTTTGGCCGAAAAGACGTAAATTCAAAAGCCAAAAAGACTGAAAGAGAACAGAATTATACGGCAGGTTAAACAACATTACCACATCGATAAAGGCAAAGAAGACTGAACTATTTATTTCTGGCTTATTATTCGTCGGCAGCCAGTCATACCTAACCACGAAGTATGGAACATCCGGGGCACCAATTCACTACCTCTTAGTAAGAATTGCACGCCTTCAACCACTGGGCAACGTTGCCTTGTCGGTTTCGATCGGGAACATAAAGAGGTGACGTGCGATCGGTGACCGCCCGCTACCATTGAATATTCCGGATCTAAACCGACACGGCAACGGTCTGGTGTCTCAGTGGTTACAGGCGTGGACTTCAAATAAACAGGTCGTGAATTGGAGTCTCAAGAATTTCACAATTCGGGGTTGGGTATGACTGGTTGACGACGTCTAATAAGCCAAACATGGCCATTATAGTCTTTCTTGCCTTTGTCTGTAATGTCATAATGTCTTGCGCAAGAGACTTGAAGAGGCGTACGATGAGACTCAGAATGCCCTCAAAATTGAACGCCTCATGAGGCTGTTTGAATTCTGCCAACAAACTTTCTTCACTTTTGCGGGAGAGACCTATGAACAAATCAAGGGAACCCCTATGGGCTCACCGGTCTCCGGTTTGGTGGCAGAACTGGTCCTACAGGAGTTGGAAAAGATTGCCTTCCTCCAACATGAACCGGTATTTTGGCGACGTTACGTTGACGACACGTTCGTCATCGTAAAGAAGGACATGCTGCAACATTTTCACAGCCTGCTCAACGCAGTCGTCCCGGATATAAAATTCACGAGAGAAGAAGAACAGGAGCAGCAGTTGCCCTTCCTGGATGTGCTCGTCTGACGAATCCTTAACGGTGAACTTGAAACGACGGTTTATAGGAAGGCAGCGAACACCACACGGCTTCTCAGTTTTCACAGCAACCATCCGGTGGCTCACAAACGAAGCTGTGTGAAGACGCTCTTCAAACGGATCTAAACTCATTGCAGCAAACTGGAAGACAGAGCGCGTGAGGCCCGTTATCTCCGCGACCAGTTTGTGCAAAATGGCTATCCGAGGGCATTGATAAGTCGCTGCCTACGCGGTCGCCACCAGAGAACTCAAACATCAACGCCACCGACGATATGGCATGCTCTGCCATACATCAAGGGTGTTTCAGAAGCGACCGAGCGCAATGCTGCGGAGCTAGGAGTTGGAATCGCACACCGCCCCAAAGCCACCATGCGCAACAGGGTCATGAAGATCAAAGACCGGTTAAAACCTGAAGAGCAATCTGGAGTAGTGTATCGCATTCCGTGTCAAAATTGTCCTTGTAATTACACAGGACAGACTGGACGCATGCTCGGATCGCGCATACATGAACATAAGCTGGCTGTGCGGCGAGGCGACGCATTGTCACAAGTGGCTGCCCACACCTACGAAATGGGTCACGAGTTTGACTTCGCCGACACCAAAATAGTCGCCCACGCCGGAAACAAAACAGGCCGAGAATTGATTGAAGCCTGGGCCTCGGATGAGAACTCGGTCAATCGAGTTATCGATCTGGCGCCGGCGTACAGAGCCCTGCGTTGTCACCTCCAGTCGTGCGACGTCGGTCGCTGATTGGGTCTACGTGCCTTATAACTGTCGCTTGTCCTGTTTCTGCCACTACCTCTGACGATGGACTCCTGTACGAGTCTGAAAGCTCAGGATAATAAACGAATTGTTCCGGTGCTCGATTCTTCTTCTTCTTCTTCAAATATGTGTACACCTGGAACTCGAAATTTCGCCTTCATTCGTGAAACATTCGGGCGCTATGCGCTTCGGACAGCTCGCAGCTGGGAGTTATTCTCTACACGAGAGGCATCAACATACGTGCAGCTACGTTTTCTGCACCGATGTCTCCAAGACGAACTAACCCCACGATGCCTGAGATATAAAGCTCCAGTTAATACGGCCATGGGAAGAGAAGTTGTGAGGCGGTTTGTCAAACAGATGACAAGAGTTCTGATCGACGACTGTCACCGGCGTTTGCAGAAGTACAAAGGCTGAGATCGAGGAGAACAGAAGGCAGTGTGTCCACACTCTCGGCGATTCTATCGCCGCAGATCTTGGGAAGACGATCTCTGCTCTGGCACACCACAGGCAAGCCAAGAAGAGAGAAGTTTCGGAACGGAAACTGACTAAGCTAAAACCACCAGGCACAGAAAGCTCAAACTTGCTCCACAACCTCTCGTCTAAGCAGCTAACAGAGCAGCAACTACGAGTGTTGCAGCATGAAACGTGTTTCAACACTGCAGATGCCGATCCTGTCGACTTCATTGCAGCCCTGGAAGCCATGCTTGTGAGAAGTGAAACATCCGACGACATAAAACACTCCGTCCGACAGCGTGTTACCTTTTTGCTGATGACACACAGACCAACCAAATGTATTTCACAGAGTGAGTCAAAGGCTATGAGAGAACTGAGGAGGGACGACAGCATTATCATTCTACCTGCTGACAAGGGACGATCAACCGTCGTGATGAATAGAGAAGACTATAATGAAAAAGCTAAAGCCCTTCTTGATGACAGAGAATTTTACAGACCAGCACAGAAGTCACAAGCCAAAGCAGTGGCAGATCGGCTGAGTAAACTGCTTAGAGAATACCGACATAAAAATGTGATCACGGAGAATGAATGGCACCAAATGAGGGCAACTGACACCGCTCTAGCCCGATTCTATGGTCTGCCAAAAATCCATAAAGCAAATGTCCCACTTCGGACAATCGTTGCCCTCAAAGGCAGCCCCACCTACAACTTGGCAAAGTGGATGTACTCAAAACTGAAGTTCCTACAAGGCAATTCGACTACCTTAGTTCGATCAGCCTCTCAATTCCTCATAGACCTCCGAGGTCGGAGAATTCAATCGGACGAAGTCATGGTCTCCTTCGATGTGACGTCGCTATTCACATCTATCCCACCAAACGTGGCCCGCGATGTCTTGCGCAAGAGACTTGAAGAGGCGTACGATGAGACTCAGAATGCCCTCAAAATTGAACGCCTCATGAGGCTGTTTGAATTCTGCCAACAAACTTTCTTCACTTTTGCGGGAGAGACCTATGAACAAATCAAGTGAACCCCTATGGGCTCACCGGTCTCCGGTTTGGTGGCAGAACTGGTCCTACAGGAGTTGGAAAAGATTGCCTTCCTCCAACATGAACCGGTATTTTGGCGACGTTACGTTGACGACACGTTCGTCATCGTAAAGAAGGACATGCTGCAACATTTTCACAGCCTGCTCAACGCAGTCTTCCCGGATATAAAATTCACGAGAGAAGAAGAACAGGAGCAGCAGTTGCCCTTCCTGGATGTGCTCGTCTGACGAATCCTTAACGGTGAACTTGAAACGACGGTTTATAGGAAGGCAGCGAACACCACACGGCTTCTCAGTTTTCACAGCAACCATCCGGTGGCTCACAAACGAAGCTGTGTGAAGACGCTCTTCAAACGGATCTAAACTCATTGCAGCAAACTGGAAGACAGAGCGCGTGAGGCCCGTTATCTCCGCGACCAGTTTGTGCAAAATGGCTATCCGAGGGCATTGATAAGTCGCTGCCTACGCGGTCGCCACCAGAGAACTCAAACATCAACGCCACCGACGATATGGCATGCTCTGCCATACATCAAGGGTGTTTCAGAAGCGACCGAGCGCAATGCTGCGGAGCTAGGAGTTGGAATCGCACACCGCCCCAAAGCCACCATGCGCAACAGGGTCATGAAGATCAAAGACCGGTTAAAACCTGAAGAGCAATCTGGAGTAGTGTATCGCATTCCGTGTCAAAATTGTCCTTGTAATTACACAGGACAGACTGGACGCATGCTCGGATCGCGCATACATGAACATAAGCTGGCTGTGCGGCGAGGCGACGCATTGTCACAAGTGGCTGCCCACACCTACGAAATGGGTCACGAGTTTGACTTCGCCGACACCAAAATAGTCGCCCACGCCGGAAACAAAACAGGCCGAGAATTGATTGAAGCCTGGGCCTCGGATGAGAACTCGGTCAATCGAGTTATCGATCTGGCGCCGGCGTACAGAGCCCTGCGTTGTCACCTCCAGTCGTGCGACGTCGGTCGCTGATTGGGTCTACGTGCCTTATAACTGTCGCTTGTCCTGTTTCTGCCACTACCTCTGACGATGGACTCCTGTACGAGTCTGAAAGCTCAGGATAATAAACGAATTGTTCCGGTGCTCGATTCTTCTTCTTCTTCTTCTTCTTCTTCAAATATGTCATAATCTCTGTATCATGCACCGCTGTGCGTCTCCTAGTTGGACTCGGAAGAGAGCCCATAAGGCACAACGGAACGAATAATTTCCTTATGAACTATCGGTCAGCGCTAATTACTATATCAACACCACCTTAATAATCCTTTATAATTGGAGACACCGTTTACACTTTCGGCCAAAATTTTATCAAGTCGGTGAATCACTCTATGGAAATATTTTGCATATTTCGGAATTATTCGAAAGCTTACCTTTATAAGTAATGTGGGTTGTTTGCGCCGCCACGTGCACATACATTGGCCACGCCTACATTTTAAAGCATTAAGGGACAAGCATTAGTTTTTTCGTCAAACATACCTTGGGATGATTTGCAGTTGGTAGGTTGCCACAAAAAAATAAATCGAATTTCCCACATGCGTTGCTCTTTCCACAATAGTCAAAAATTTGGGTTGTACGACTGAGTACTAAGGAAATGCCGGAAATGCTTCACAGCCAGGTAAGTGGCAAGTGCTTCACGGCCAAAATGTACTGTATCGTGTCTCAGCTGGTAAGACCTTTTTTGGAGAAAAAGGCAAGTGGTCGAGTCTAACCAGCAATGCGTTGTTGAAGGGCTGCACTTACGGCTACGGTCGAATCATCTTCCATCAGAGACAACTGAGCTTCGGGAGCGGGATGTGTGAGTAAGGTAGCATCAGCAAGGGAATTCTCGATTCTCTCAAAAGCAGTCAGTACTTCACCAGTTAGCTCGAGGGGACCATTGGGACAAGAAAACATGTTGGTGAGCGGCAGCATGAGGTCAGCACTGTTTGGTAGGAACCGACAGTAAAAATTGACCATGCCGAGGAACCGCTGTAACTGACGCTTGGAAGTTGGAGGAGGAAAATTACGAACTGCTTCAACCTAGGATGGGAGGGAATGCAAACATTTAGACTCGAACTTGTCACCAAGGAACTCCAGCGAAGGCACACCCAACACGCACTTGGAGGGGTTGATGACAACGCCAAACTTGTCAAGGCGGTCAAACACCAAGGAAAGGTGTTCTTTGTGTTCTTCTTCATTCCGGCTGGCCATTAAGAGGTCATCAATGTAGGCGTACACAAAGGGTAGGCCACGCAAGACATGGTCAATGAACCTTTGGAACGTTTGAGCGGCATTGCGAAGACCAAACGGCATGCGGACGAACTCAAAGAGACCGAAGTGTGTGGTGACGGCGGTTTCAGGGATGTCCGCAGTGGCGACTGGACTCTGATGAAAAGCACGCACCAGATCAATCTTCGAGAATACTGCTTTGCCAAAAAGGGCTCCAGCAAAGTTCTGAAGATGACGCACGGGGTACCGATCAGGAATGGTAGCGCTGTTGAGGGCACGATAGTCGCCACTGGATAACCAGTCGCCCGATGTTGCCTGGGGCACCACGTGCAGTGGAGACGCCCAAGGTCTCTCGGAAGGTCGAATTATTCACAATTGCAGCATGTGTTCAAACTCCGCCTTTGCGTCCTAAAAACGCTCCGGTGATAGTCGTCTCGGTCGAGCAAACAGGGGAGGACATGAGGTGCGAATGTGGTGCACAACATCATTTTGAACTTCACCACTGCGAATCTGTGGGTTAATTATTTTGGGATGACTAAGCACCAGTTGCCGAAAAGGACTAGCAATAACCGTATTCAAGAAAGATAAGTTGGTGGGGGCAGTAAAGAGACTTAGTCCACGAAAAAACAAACCGGTAGTGCGGTCGAGGAGACGGGCACGTGGGCAGTCAACAAGGAGTTCGAACTCGGCAAGAAAGTCCGAGCCGAGGATTGCATGAGGGACATCAACAATCAAAAAGGTCCAGGCAAATAACCGACGAAGGCAAATGTTCAGGGTGAGGAACGACTGTCAAAAGTGGGAACGGGGAACAGTTAACAGCTTGAAGAATAAGACCAGTGCTAGGGAAACGACGATCAGCTGCAGTTGGGGGAACAACACTGATTTGGGCTCCAGTGTCCACAAGAAAACGTCTGCGAGTCGCAGTGTCGGAAACATAGAAGGTGCTACCAGAGCCGGAACAGCCAGAAAAAACGGTCGCATCTATTCTCTGGCTGACTGGTTTCCCTGTTTCGGTTTAAAAGAGCAGGGTGAGGAACAATGACGGGCCTTTACGCCGAAATTAGTGTGATACCATCAAGTATCAGCAGTCCGAGGTCGCGAACGAGAACGACGACGGCTGTGTGAGCGACAGGAAGCTATGCGTTCGAGCTGTATTTTAAGGTAGGCCATGTCATCCGCCATGGCCGAAACCTGTTTCAATAAATTTTTATTCACTGACGATGAAGATGAGGAGATCCTGGCAACGGATGGTGGCTGGAATCGCTGAACCTCTATTATTCGATCCGCCATCTCAGCCAGCTGTGAGACCGTAAGGTCTTCAGAGGCGGAAGCCAGGATTGCCTGAACATCTGCGGGCAGACCGTCTAGGAAAATGTCCCTGACAAGTTTATCGTCTACTTCCATGTCTCCAAAGAGAGATCGCATTCGACGTGGATGCTCTGAAGGCTTCCGATCACCCAGTGACTCCTCCTTAAATAACTGATGATACCGCTGTCGGTCAGATACAGAATTAAGTCGTAGAATTTCCGCCTTTAACCTGGAGAAAGGAGCATCAACAGGAGGATTAGCTAGCAAGGACTGAACTTGAGAGATGACACTAGCGGGGAGGACCTCCACAAGTTTGTGGTATTTTGCTAGTTCCTTGGTAAGGATGGCAGAATAAAAGGCTGATTCTATGCGGATGAAGTAAAGTTCTGGAGCGTGTTGCCGGAATTAAGGCAAGGTAAAATTGGGCGGGGACATCAAGTTGTTGATTGGAGTGAGACATAATTAGAGAGAGGTGGCAAAATATCAGAATTCGTGAGGAAAGTAAATGCAAATTGGATAGATATTCACAAACAAAAAAACCTTAAATCTTATGCAGTACGACAGAAAGGTATAGTCTGCGTTAACGGCGGGAGTTATCAATGTCGTAAGACGTAACGTTCTCACGAACTAGCGAGTTATATCTCACTAGCCCCTAGCCTTAAAGGCAGCAAGTAAAACGGAACAGTGAATAATATAGATAATTTGAACGTTAAGAAAACTTAACAATAGAGCACGGAACACGGTAGCAAGGCGGGTTGTACATGTGTGTCGTTTCTTGTCACATTCAAACAAGCAATCCGGTCAAAGAAAATGGGAGTAAGTTGTCAAAGGTAAATTAGTCAGGTACCTCACCACTTGGTCATCATACAGCATATGTCTACATCAATTTAATTACCCCAAGATGCGGCCTTTCGAACGAAGTTTTGTCCGGTTGCATAGAAATGCCGCACTCTGTATCAAGTAAATACATTAAAAGGAGACATTTTTCCCATTGGTTTTCCGTGCCCAAAATAATTCAATTATATTGCATACGAAATATTATACGAATATTAAGTCCTTTGCTCATTCGATGGAACACTATGTTTTCTTTCAATGTTTACTGGAAAAAAGCGGATGATTCGGATTTTAAAACTTTCCTAATTCCCGAATATTTTTCTAACACGATTAGCCCTTACACTTGCGTTTTTTAATCTCCAAACTACAAGATTCTTATATGATGCGTGCAGAAAACCATATGTTTCTCCACGGTATTGGAAGAAAAAATGGGGATCATAAAACTTATCAGTGTATTTGAGCCATTTTGGTGACCTTAAAGGCCAATTTGGTAGATGCAACTACATTAAATTTTATAAATGGACATTTGGCGATATTAAAGAATCGCAAATTTGAAAACTTTAAAAACCAGATTATGTCCTTTTTGAATACAAGATTTGAAGAAGGTGTAAGTTCCTACGAAATAAGAAAAATAATGAATATTATGAATTAAGCTTTGCATAAATATAATTGCATTTTAAGCGTATCACCAATCAACAAGTAAGATGCATGCTGTATAAGTAGTCATTCTTTACAGGGTATATGCTTTTCATGCTTAAAATATCCACCCAAACGTACGGCATCCTAAACTAACTGATTTATAAGAATAATACGCTGCACGCTGAACAATTTTCGATAAAAAGTTTTTTTGTCTTCGATGACGTATTCGAGTAGGAATCCGAAACGTCAGGCTAAAAAAGCTATTGTCCCGGCGATCGTGTCGCATTATTCAATATCTCGAGTTGGCCCACCTACTGCACATCTGTCGCATTTTCGCCTACTCAAAACGAATATGAACGTTGATTTGTTTTATAATTAAACAGTATTTTAACATTTAACAAGCATACCTAAATTGACTTCTACATGTAACTTTCTTATGTCCGCTTAATAAGCCTGGCCACTCTGTCCACGTACCGGAGGGAACGTCTTTATTTCCGATATCTTACTGAATAGAATGCATGCGACTCCCGAATTTTCAGAAGACCTTCCGTACACAGACAACAGCAAAACTCAATTCCGAATGATTATTCAGCCTCACCCAGTACTTCGTGCATGCTTCCTTATAAATAACACTGAAGGAGCCGCAATCGTAAGACTTGAATGTACTCTTATTTTTTTCACGCATTGACTGCAACGTTCTTCTGAAGGTAAACACTTTTAATTTGATTCGTATTTCTTTATGCCTATCATATGCTATTTTATCGTTTAATTGAAAAAGCCGGTTTAAATTATTCTATATGCGCATTTATCCAGAAAGGCAAAAACCGCCGAGTCACATTTGCTGCTGTTGGAACTGCTTGCTCACCTTAAATATCTGGGGCCTATAACAATTTGTATAAGTTTCCTCTGTATAATTGCAAAGCATGCTCGAAAGGAAACAAATATAGCGACCGACTAGGTCTATGCAGAATGGGTCTGCTCTGAAACGCGTTTGGCGTTGTATTTATTGTATGTCATATTTGGTGCCTGGACGTTGGCCTGATAAACTGCTACAAATATGTTTTTGGTATTCTCTGATCTGCTTCGTAAAAGTTTATTTTAAGGATAATAAGTAAACTCTATGCGTTGTTGGACTAATAGCTTCGGATAAAAGCAACACTTCCCAAAGATATGTAGTGTATCAAAGGAGACAGCGACCAGACTTTTATGCATTTATTATATGGAAAAAAGTTGCTCCTTGTGGTGCCACACGTATATACCTAAAGCGCTGTTGATTCATTTATGGAATCTGGATCACGACTGACTGGGCTGAAACAAGCTTTAGCTATCATAGTATGGCAATCCCTGTTTAACAGGCAAGCTGCCTCACTTAAACGTAAACGTTTAATTTAACGCTGCAATGTCAACCGAAACGGTATAAAAGGAAACGTTTTAGCTTTTATTGAAAATACGCGAGCAAAACAGAAGTTTGAAAGGCACTTGCATAATCTATGTCAAATTTATTTTGATGAATAAAAACAAAAACTAAATCATGCCTAAACTGGGTTCAGGTAAACGATGGCCTGGCTAGGTTGCTTGGACTCCCGTATCGGACAGCGGATTTGATGAAATTTCACCTTCTGAACTTTTCTGCGGTCGCTGAATTTTACATCATTTCGAGTGAGCTGTCAAAGGAAAGAATATTGCATTTTGATGGAATTGTTTTTTCCAGAATAGACGCAGGCATCACTCCGGGAAAAAGGACCACCCCATGGCCTGCGGATTTTCGGTGGAGAAAAAAAACCATTAATGAGCTGAACCAATTAGCATCAAATGCGGCTTCCAGCAAGTTATTTTTGACATGTCGCCTGTGAACTAGAGGTTGCATGTGCAGGGGAACTGCAGCTGTGCGTATGTAATATGAAGGCGAATTGGGATTTACAATCGTTACTCTTTACTGTGTTCTTTATTTCTGTCTTGGCATAAAACCAATCAAATAATTGTGCTGCAGCTTCAACATGAAATGATTTCTGAAAAGACATGCCAGCAATTTTACATTTAGGAATACAGTCTATAGTGCCGAAGGTTTTATTGCCAGCTTTAAAAATTCACCGGTGGAGATGATATAGACGGTAGAATAGTCGGCTAGGCTAAACCAGAAACAAATAATGACCCGAATTGCATGAACACTCCCCGTAACGGCTACATCTGATCATGACATATTAAGATCTTCGTAGAATGATTGTGAGTACTTATGACTTATGTATGAAAACCAACAGTGTAGCATCGATTTAAATGACCTAAGCAGCTCGTATTGGGTATCCTGCAGAGAGACTTGATCAGATACCATACCATACACGTCAGTCATCCAGTCTGTAGACTTAGCATGCAGCACTTTGGAAAGTCTTTGTTTTTTGTGTGTCCAATGCCCTGGCCTATGCTTGCAGGTCACATTCAGTAGTTTCCATGGAATATGTTCGATAGAGCTGCCTCTCGGATACTCCACACATGTTCCACCACACACTTGGGATTGAATGATATCCAGTTTTCAGGTAGGCGTTTTGACATTTATGCCGCTTCTCCGCCCTTGCGATCTGCACCTCATACAAAAAATGGAAGAGCAGCTGTCCGTATTTGTAAACGACTTAAGCCGAAAGCTATTACAGACGGGATAATCAGCACTGTCTGACCGAACAGTTCGTTAACTCCGCAAGCATTAAACAATGTTGTTGTCCTTTGATGATTTCTACAAAATTTAAAGCGGTAACACTTATTGCCGACTGGCAAATTATTAAAAATTACTGTTAATCTCCCTTTTTGGCGCAAATCGTCTCACGTCGCTCAGCCAGTCTGTAGACTTGGCATGCAGCACTTTCGAAAGTCTTTGTTGTCTGTGTGTCCTATGCTCTATTTGGTCTCGCATAAGGCTAGCCTATATTTGCAGGTCGGATTCAACTGTTTCCATGAAATATGGTCTACAGGGTAGCTTCTCAGACATTCCACGCATGTTGAATGTAAATGACATCCTGTTTTTCAGGAAGAAGTTTTGACATCAATTCCGCTTCTCTGTCCTTGCGATTTGCACTTTATCTAAAAATGGGACGGCGGCTGTTCGACGCTGACCGACATGATCACCAGCACCGTCTGAACGAAAGTTTAATGGACTCTGTTCGCATTGAGAAATATCGCTGTCGTTTATTCTTTTCTGTAAAATTTAAAGCAGCATGACAAATTGCAGAAGGGCGAATTACTAGCAGTAACCGTCTTTCCTCCTTTTTGCCGCAAATCGTCTCATCCTATTGTCTCATTATCTTCAAACGATAATGTATTTTTAAATTCTGGACACAACCGGTTCATTCACTGAGTAAGCCAGTATTTTGTTACAATTTGCCGTGTGCATATTCTGTCTGCTGAATAATTAAACAGGCAGCACAATTTATTTAGCTGGGACGTTAAGTTAAAATTTCAAGAAGCAAATGTAATCAATGAGAAGGTTAAGTAATGTATTCATCGTCATGCCAACTTGTACAGTTTACATTTGAGTCCAAACGTGCGTCGTATCTGAATAATATGACAATTCTCAAGAGTCAAATTTGCGATAGTACAGATCAAAGTTATTAACGCTGTTATTTAAGTTCAGCGTAAACACTTAAACAAACATTTGCAGATTATTCTGCCATATCATCTGTTTATGTATAGGTCTGTTGGTGAATAACTGAAAGTGAACAATGAACGAACGATTTCATAAAATCGTGGCCTGAATTTTACAATGCGTTTCACTTCAGTAAGAATTAGTTATATTGGATTGCAGATTGATTGTCATGGCGCATAATTTAATAGTATTTCAGACTTCTCAAAATGTTAACTTTTCAATGTACGTCATGTAAACTTCCCACAGAAACAAAACGCGGGAAAATGCAATGTAGGTTTAAGCATCCTTCTCCATTTATTTTTTGATGGTCTTATAAATGCAAACATACTTTGCAGCTATATGGCAGAATAATATTCTTTCATTTACTCGTTTGGTAGAAAATGCAATCGTATCCGCATTGAATGCCCTGCGATGAGTGATCCTCCGCAAATTTCTATGAACTATAATGTAATGGCTGCTTAGACTCACACAAATTCGGGAATTAAGAAACTTCTGAAACCTTAATATGCTAATATTGCGATGTACAATGTAAATTCAATGTTAATTAATGCCGAACGAGAAAAATCTCACATTTCTGAGATATTTTCTGTAAAATATATTTGGATTGTATAAGAGATCGAAAATCAGTGTAAACATGCGCGCTAATAAGTAGCCTTTTTTACTGAGTGTGGTTTTTGCAAGAGGTTAAAACGAAGTATATTCAAAAGCCTACATCTTGGAGAGTCCAGAATACTTTAGGATTCTGCCGGTGGATAGTCAATTACTAAACCCTACCTAATTAATCCTTCCTAATCAAAAACACATTTCAGAAGTTCGGCAAACATTTCTTTGGTTCTGTTGAGCAAAGTACGTTTACTAAAATTGATTAACCTGAACATGATAATTATTAGTGAACAATCACACCTATAAGTTTACAGTGGTATCGGAAGTTTTATTAACTGCAATGGACTAATTATTTGTCCGTGGACAAATATGAAGCGTTTTCTCTTTAGATCGGCAGGTATACATGTTGTCTCTATATCGTGGCTCTACTTTAGTACACAGATGGTACGCAAGCTGATAGGTCAGTTTTGCGGACATCAGTACTTCAGTTTAATTTGATGTAAAAGCTTAAAGATAATGTTTGATAATCCAAGGCGTAGTGAGAGCATGTACTTCAACCATATATAAAAAGGTGCTTGCTAGTGTGTGCAATGTCACAGCTTCAGACTCGTAACGAAAATAAATTTCGGTTGTCCGAGTGCACACATAGCTGCTCCTAATAAAGTACTTACTGAAGTTAACCACCGACGATGCTGACGTTACATGTTGCATGCGTGGAATCATGTCTACTCAAGTCAACCATATCTCAATGTGATTTCAACATTTTCTTCAAGTACAGATTAATGCCATTTGAAGATTAGGTTTAGATCATAAGTATTTGCTCAGACTCAACGGACGGTCTTGTCGGTAGAAAAAAACGCAATGTTACGCTACAAGTGGGGTTATGTTCTAATCTGTGTTTCACCATTGGCGATGTTGCATATGAGTACTTGAAACAGTCACTGCTGGATTTTCGCTCTCTGGATAAGCTGGCAGTTTTTAAAGATGAGAATGTATCACAGGGACTACCGTGCCATGGACTCAATGGCACAGTCGATGCCAACTATGAGGTGCTTTAGCACATCCAATCCATTCAACCTGGAGAAATAATTTATGAATTAAAGTACAGTGAGTGCCCGATATCATGAAATGTTGGCTGAAATTCTGAAATGCGTTTTCGATTAGGAAGAATTACTTGGTCGCGGTTGTAAAACTGATTATCCTAAGGCATATTCTTATAACATTTCGGACTTTGCAGGATGTCGGCTTTTAAATCCACTTGTTTTTAATGTCCTGTAGAAAGCGTGCTCGGTAAAAATGACTACATAATTAGCATGCTTTTTCCCATTGATGTTTGATGGTCTTGCAAATTCAAATATATTTTATAGAAACCATAAACAAAATATGCTTTCTTTAAACAGTCAATAGACAATCACGTCTTCCTTATATTTTTTCCCCGGTATGAATTGAAAACAAGCATGTACAACAAAATTTATTGCGGTCAATAAATTTCGTGACGGCTTTTCAACTGCAGCCCGTCTCTGCATAAAATTGCTATCGAATGAAAGCGCACAGCACTAGGAATTTTTACAGAATAACAGTGCATAAGAGCAAAGACAAGGTTCAAGTCAATGAAAAATCAGATAAGACGTCCACATAAGCGGCATATAGGAATGAGGAAGACGAAATGTTAACAACAAATCACAGTCAGGGGAAATTAGAGGCGTGAGATTACCAGGGCAATTGCAGATTGATCACGTGATATAACTGCTTGCACAGGTCTGGTTTCTACCTCCGTATGTAAGCTGCTTCCAAATAACGCAAGGTTCGACTTGTATGCGCTCGGACAAGAATTCGAAAAGATGCTCTCGTGTTGACAACATGATCGTTATCTAACAGGTGTTTCGTCATAGACAAACGGCAGGGTTTTGTTTTCCTGTTTTCTTAAAGTTACAACAAAATCTTATGTCCAAATTGCAGTTGTGCTAATACTAAGGATCTAATATTCACCTACCTTAAGCCTTCCATACAAGAAAATTAGACATTTACTTACGTTATTAAGGAAATCTCAGATAGGTTTCCATATATTTTAATATGAACATAGATCACGTCGTGCTATTCAAGAGCAGTGTTTTTGAATGGACAGATATGCCTCCGTATGAATAAACATTTTATTAATCTGGAAATGTTTAACGATTTAAAATGCATTCTAGTACGAATGAAGTCAGATAGCATCTCATAAATGCTCCTGTATCTGGGACCAAATGTGTTATCAGTGGTTGTGCACAAACTATTTCTCACAGAATCCGATGAAAGCAGACTTAAACTGATTTCGCAATCACGCCTGCCCGTCGATGAGGCGATTTTATGGGAAAGTGAACTTCATCTCATTCACTACTAAGGCATTTTTCCTGAGTAGGCCGGTGTCCATATGCGTTGCTATACTTGGGCTAACTTGATCTAATTTTCCACGGCTGACAACTCCTCACTGGTTGTCAGTATATTATAATTAGTCTTGGCGGGATCCTTCTATTATGTGAAGAAATAGGGGAGCAGTTTACGGTGGAAACAGTCCCTCGTGTAAGCTGCCTTCGCAAACCCTAGGCGTGAATAAATAATGAAGAATTCCAAGAAAGTGTCAAAATGCGTCAACTCAACTCGCCATGCAATGCTTGAATAATTAAGGACTTTGAGAGGTCGTATTCAATTGGATGGTTACGATACTGTATGGATAGACATATAGTAGCTTTCAAAATACCTTATATCTATCTTAAGGTAAAAGCGCAACCTCCACCAAGGTATAAACCAATTATGCGGTCATTTTACTCAACTCAGTCGTAAATACTCCCATTCAAATGTCAGCATCCCTGCGTGACTGGACGATGTTGAAATTACAATTCCATCAAGTAGCCACTGATACTCAGAGACATACTTCAACATTTCATGCAAGAAGGTCTACTTTGCTCGAAACTGCGCATTGCATAATGTGGTCAATTTCCAGCGTTCGTCATTGTCAATCCAGTAAAAGCTTACAGTTCCTGATCCAAACTGTCATCGTAGACGGAGAATTCTAAGAGGGTATATAAATGCCCCACTTAAACTGGCCATGAAATGCTCAAACAATTGTTGACTCCAAGGACCTAAATATTAGAATTCCTATGCAAAGTATAGTTCGATGTTGGCACGCTTATGTAATTGGATATTGCATTCCTTGTGATTTATTTACATATCCTGTAATAATACAACTACTTTATTCACGAAACATATGATACTTTTAAAAGATGAAGCGCAATTTTAACTTAATTGCTTTATTATTTCTAAAGCCCTAAAGCTTTAGTACAAGTGAGTAAATCTTGTTTGCATATGAGTAAAAAGCAGGAACATTAGGTTGGAAATAGTTGAATGGTATTTTCTACGATTTCCAGAGGATAATATGGGACATGCAAATTTCATTTAGATGCAAAAGATTAGTCTGACAAATACAGATATATCGGAAATAAAAGCAACTTACCTTGCTTTAAATTTCGAAGACATTAACGTGCGAACTTTGAGTTAACTATTCAGAACTAAAGTTGATATGAATATTTGACCCGAAATTAATCATTAAGGAGTAAACAACGTATTGGAAACTCAATACCGTAGGTCAGCATTGATGTCAAATACGGTTTATAAAATTTCACGAAGAATGCCCAATATTTCATGAGTGGAATTACTAAGTGTTAACTACGATACTGTATGAATGGGCCTTTCACAGTATTAAAATACTGCACATTTATTGTAAAGAAAAACCCAACATTCCTTGGAGTAAGCACTTATTAAGCAACCGTTGTACCAAACTCGGTCAAAATGAGTCCAATTCAAATGTCAGTACCGTAGCATGATTGAAACCTGGTAAATCTCCGCTGCATGCTAGTTAAACATGCTGTGATAACAACAAAACCTTGCTAAGCAAACACACATTTCAGCATATTAGTTAACATTTCATGTATTATGTCGCTATAAAATCAACATTGCAACCGCTACATAGTAATCCTTCCTAATTGAAAACGCATTTCGGAAATTCGGTCCACATTTCATGAGAACGGTCACTCACTGTATCTCAACATCGAACTTAACATTATATGCGACTCCACCGATCCAGTTGCTGACTACTTCATATTTCCCCACTAATAATATTGTCAAGAAACTTGTTCTGTTATAATCTGCAAAATCTTACATTTGAATAATTTTTACTGAAGGTCTCTTTTTGATGGCGTATAATATAGAAAGGCAAAATTTGTCCTTGGCCTTAATTAAGACAGATTTTCAGTGGGCCATGGGTCTAAAATAATTGAGAATGTTTTGCAAATAGTTAATATTTGCCTCTAAAATGACCAAAATTTTTCTAGATCGGAGTCCGATGGGTGTTTTCGGAAATGTGCACGTGTATGTCATGGCCACACACTCTAGTTATCAATATTGAAGTCCTGTTATCAGGCCTAGCTGCAGGCACATGCCGCGAAAATCGTGATCCGTGCCGTTCCTCATATTATAGATCTTGTGTAAAATACCGGTGAGTAACTTATTGACCAGCAGCTGTGGTGGTACGTCTAGGTGGAGTTTTTGTCCTGTCAACTATCTGCGTCCTCTGCCACCGCCGGTCATCTTGCCTCTTTGGTAACATCGGTTCCAAGTTGGCGGAAGTCGAGGCTGCGGTAGATCCTGCAGTAGCATTCTAAAACTAAAAACTGCCTCAAATGCTAGTTACTGTTCCTGTACTCATCCTGCTGTGGATCACACGCTGAACATCGTCGTCAGTGGCGGGGGAATCGGTCACAATACTCAGCGCATTTGCAGTAGGATTAGCATAGAATATATGGAAGGTAAAATCTCCTGATGCATACGATTTTCGCAGAGTAAAGATGACGCATGTTGCGGTTTGAATCTATTGCCGATAAAGACAACGTGAAGGTATTACACAATTCTGACTTCTGACTCATGATCAATATTCCAGCTTCGTTTGAACCATTCAGAGGGAAATTAAGAAGCACCTCTCAGATAGAGTTATCATGCGGATTTCGAAATACGTCAACGGGATTCGTATTAAGCTGTAAATCATTTTTAAAGATTAGAATTAACGAGGTGTTAAGGTTCCTGAGTACCCGCCAGCAATTTTCTTGTTGACGTTGAGAGTTAATGTTGAGTGATAATATCTTAGAGCCGTGTTCGTCAAAAAAACGGTCACTAACCAGCATATTTTTAACTGAATCTTACCCATCATGTCTTCGCAGACGGTCTGCTCCTGAAGGGTTTGATAAAGTTTAGTGAGAGCACAAAATAAAAACTTTGTTATTTTGTCCTTTAAGCTATGCAACGCATGATCTACTGTAGGTGAGGCCACTCATGAAATGTCGACATAAATTCCGAATGCATTTTCAATTCGAAAAGATGAATTAATTAGGGTTGTTAAACTAGTCAGTTTGCAACATTATTTTATAATACTTTAATTACAGCTAAGTACCTCCTTCCGAATGAACTTCCATCTGTTTGCATGCAAATGTATACTATGCACAAAATGACATAAAATGACAACACAGTTTGCATTAATTTTTCTCATAGACTTTCGGTGCCCCTAACAGTCTAATTTTATTCCATGGTAAACATATAGGAACAATATCAATTTTTTTGCCGATACCGTAGTAAACCACGTCTAGCTCCAATACTATACTCGAAGCAAGAGCATAATTCGGTTTTCAAATACCTTTCAGGTTCCAAAATCATTTTGAACCCGCTCTATTCTTACACTTGGATTCAGATTTTCCAAACTACAAGCCGTATATTTTCACCGAACGGATAACCGCACATTTCCATATGATAATTAAGTGGGGCAAATAGTGTTAGTACAATTTAACAGTGGATTTAAGCCATATTATTAACATTACAAACTGCATTGGTAAATGTATAGACATGCCAATTTATGAACTGCCATTTCGAGTTATTTAAAAATCCAGCAATTAGATAATTTTCTAAGCAGATATTATGTTTTTGAGGAATACTCAGATAGGGTTTCTAAAATTTTACAGTAAATATAGATCATGTCGGGCTCTCCAAAGCAGCATTATTGTATGGATTGATATGTGTCTGTATAAATGGACATTTTTTCAATCATAAAATGTCTAAAGATTGAACACATATTCTAATCCGACAGGTATCCTACTAACTCTCAAATAAAATCGGTCAGAAATAGCCCCCACACCAATGTCAATAAACAAACGTGCTGCATGATTATTAAACATACAGTTTTAACAAAAGCCTTGGTAATCCAAGACGTATTTCAGCAAATTAGTTAACTTTGCATGGATTATGCCGCAAGCTAATCAATTTTGCAACCGCCCTGGGTGCTCCTGCCTACACGAAAACGCATTTAGAATTACAACTAAAGTTTCGCGAGATTACTCACTCCCTGTATTTCAACATCAAAGTTAACGCAACATGAGACAACATACATTTAGTTGCTGTGTACTTTGTATTTCCCAATAAATGAGGTTAAACACAGAGTGTTTCTGTTCTAATTGCAGTGTGTGTCCCTAAAATGATCGCCGTAGATGCAGTATAATAAAATGTGTCTAGATCGACGTCCGGCGGGTGTATCGGAAATGTGCACCTGCATGTCATGGACACACATTAAAGTTATCAACATTGAGGTTTTGTTCTCAGGCCTAGCTGCAGACGCATGCCGCGCCAATCGGGGCCCATGCCGATCCTCATATTGTATTTCTTGTGTAAAATTCCTGTCAAAATATGTTACTGACCAGCTGATATGGTGGTACATCTAGCTGATGGTTTGCCCCTTTCAACTATCAGCGTCCTCCACCACCTCCGTTCATCTTACCTTTTTAATGATACCGGATACAGGCGAGGCAAACGGCGAGGGTGCGGTAGATGCTAAAACTAAAACCTGCCTCTATTGCAATTTCCAGTTCCTGCTCTCGTCCAGCTGTGAATCACACGGTAGCAACGACGATCAACTTGGTCTCAATACTCATTACGTTAACGGTACAGATAGCATTAATGCTATGAAAGGTAACATCTCGTCATGCTGACACATTTCGCAAAATCAAGATGTCATCTGTTGGGGATGAAGTCAATGTAGAATTATGACTTAGACGTTTGATGCAAATTTCAACTTTTGTCGAACCATACAGAGGTAAATTAAAAAAACACCCTTCAGGCATACTTAAATTATGATATTTTAGCGTTGAGGAACAGTTGTGAAGAGCTCTCAGATGAGCATGTCTTCGGACACAGTGTTACCCGTTTCTGTCGTTTAAAACTATGAACAACAGAAAACATCCTGTCACGAAATGGAAGAAAGCTTTGAAAATCATATCAATGAGACTTATTCTATGCTGGCTAATCACGAGCTGTTTTACATTCGTTATATTCTATCTGGAAAACAATTGCGTAACTGGTAGCTCAGTTATCGTGTCTGATGTTCGCTCATAACAAACGAAAACTTTTCACCGAAAATCATCCCCCTCCCGAGTAGATAAAGCGAGTATTTTGGGCTGTCAAAATATAGAAAAACCTTATTCGCCTATGTGCAATAGATAGTTGTAAACGTTTATTTAACATGAACTATTTTAATAAGTAAGGGATATATAAAAGGCAAAAACGCCATGCCGGGTGTTAAAATAAGCATGCTTGAGCTCATTATCGAAAATCTACTAGTTACTAATGTACGTACTAGTGAACCGAATAACGAACGCATTAGTTTGTGCAAAGCCTAAATATTCCGAAAAGCGTTTAGTAAATTTCCAACAGCTCCTTTAATATTTTCCTGAAACTTAACTTAAAATGTACAAATTACTAGCCGTCATTTACAAAATACTGAGGAAAAACATGCATGAACTAAAAGGAAGAAGGTATTGCATTTGTGTGCGTGCACAGCGTAATAATCTCCCTCCAGACCTTTATTTGCTTCTGCAAAGAAATGGACTTGAAGGCAGATTTTTAAAAGCTACCGCACAAGATGCAGTTTGATTCAAATTTATATTTAGGCTCCCTTGTACTTATGACAAATTTTTACTTCCGAAAGTCAATTATGATTATATATCCCATAATTAAATTTTTTCGTGATTTTCAACCTAATGCTATGCTATCGCGAGTTTAGGTGATTTTTAGTTATTTTGATTGGTTTACACTTTTCCTGTCAAAGATATTTGTCCTACCCTAATGTACAGTGACATTAGTTTGTGCATACGTCAATGCAACATGCCATGCAGAGTTCTGCTGCTCATGTTATGCTTTGTCAATGGGCACTACGCCTGTTCTTCACTACCTCGTATGTTTTACCTATGTTAATGCCTGTTTGCTCTTATTGTAACCTAGAAATTCATTGATGGCAATTAAACTACTGATTTGAATGAACATATAGATATCCAAACGTCTGTTTTGCACGAGGTGTCATTGTCTTGTTGCGATCAAATTTGTCAAGTTTCAGGCTAAATAGCACACACGTTTTCTTACTATGTATTTAATTATTTCTTTTCCGTAAAATTGTTCCTAAGTCGTCCAACTAAAACCAGACTTTTTCCAGAATCCTCATATTGTTGGGATTCTATCTCGATAGAGCTGCTATGTACTGTTTGACATAAGTAGTGCGAAGTTACTCCCTGTCTGATCTACTAAGTTTTATAGTTGTGTGTAAATGCGGCGACAAACAATTTTTATAGGAAATAATTGATAAGAATCTAGCAGACAGTATTAATACAGCTGTCGACTCTTATCTTCGACCCGAACGCATTATTCTAATGAAATTAAATTCATTGCCCTGCAGACGTTGAGAATTGCCCGCGCGATAACGATATTATTCAAGTCGGCACTGTTTCTGCACACCTCACCAACCAAATTTATTCGCTTATTATGACAGAAGGAGAATGTAAATGCATCAGACCATCTTATAACGCCAGCCTTCCTGACAGTACACGTGTTTATAATTGTCAACCGCCCTGGCCCGTACTGTATAAGCGTTCTAGGGCCTACTCCTGTGATGTCGTCTGGAATAGTGTCATATGCACTCGGAATCAGGTATACTTTTCTCTGAAGTAGATGCCTTACATTGAAGTTCATATGGTTTATTATAAAATAGGTTACACGTATTGTAAATCTCGACTTCATTTAGGGTGGTACGAAAAGCTATGAAATTGGGCCGGCTAAAAGTCGAGTTTTTTTCGAAATAACAAACTGGAATACGTCAACGTATGGGCCAAACATCATAGGCGTTACCAAAATACATCACGCAGACTTTCTAACAGCCGCGCAAAAATTTCTGAATCCAAACCGACCAAAAATGCTACACAAAGGAAGAAACCGGTGATGTCCATGAGGTCTATTCCCCTCAAACCAGTGCACTGCAAAATCTAGTCACTTCCCATCATTTAACATTGTCACTCTTGTTAAATCCCACATTATATCCTTCAGCTGCGTTTAGATAATAAAGTATTTGCATAAGGCTCTTGAGACACGTTTTATCATTGTTTGACTCAAAGTCCTCTTTATTTAACTAGTAATGGTTAGGTAAAATGAATGATTATCAACCAGTAAGTTTACTTCCTATGTTACCAATGGCCACTTTATAAATAACATCTGCTTCAAGGGTCAATCTTCCAGTAATTTCAGTGTGGCACAATTTCTTCTGAAAATAAATTAATGTTTGTTTCGAAATATGTATCTGTCTAGAAAAATCGTAGACAGTACTTGAAGCATACATCGTGAAATAAGGATAAATTTTATTAGCGATTATACGCAAAACAGCAGTGCTTCAGAAGGATAGCGAAAGCATAAAGCATAGCAGACTAAACTTCAAAATTTTACAATAGCGATTCGGTGTAAAGTAAGAATGTTTTTTTGGTTGTTTAGCCATATTCTCCTGCTAATTGCGTAAAAGAGATCCTCGGAAGCCCAGGAAAAGATATGTGCAGTTATAGAAAATTCGAAAGCTTTGTAGTGACTGAACGACTATGAAGTCGGCTACGGCAATCTGTGCTGATGCGGCGACTGAATGTCAACAAATTACTTTTGTCGAACATGTCTCCGAATATTAACAATTACCCATATGGGCCTTTAAAGTATAAACAGAACGAATATAAATTCCAGTTAACAAGCTTGATTTCCCTCTACATTAAACACCAACTCCTTACTGCTTTATCATCTTGTTAGCGACAAATGGACGTAGTTTGGTTTTGTCTCTCCTAAATGCAGAGTGGGTTATATTTAACTTAACCTTCTAATGAGGAATAGAGTTTGGTGTCCTATACCTAAAGGAAAATGTTATTAAGTATAGAATAAAATTAATACGAACGGCATGCTTTTTCGCTTACATTAATTTATGATATGCTATCCGCAGCAGTATTGCTTTGAGCAGAAACACCTTCCCGGTTAGCAACCGCTGAAAAGTACCCTGATGAATAGCATGTGAATGTTTTCTCTACTGACATCAAGGATAGTGTTGAGTATGTGTTCTGTCATTGTGCTCCCGTCGAAGAAGCACTGGTACAGTATATTTATGGTCGCATGACAGCCTAGCACTTTGAAATAAAAACCCATGTATGTCACGTTTTATAGGCCTAGTGATGTGTGAGCTGTCCAAATATGAATGACATAGGGAAACGCTAACAGTTAACTTTCGATCGGCAGCTGTTCAAATAAGTTCTCTTAAGGGTCAAATGTTAGAATTAAATAGTAAATCACTCTTCTTAGTGGTGTAGATACGCGTATCTTTAGTAGAGTGCAGCAAATAAAATACTCTTTAGAATGCTGCCAACAATCATGCTATTGTCTAAACCGAAATTCCCGGCGAACGTTACTAGAGAGAATGCAATTTGTACAGTTGGCATCGGAGTTCAGAGGAACCGTTTCCATACGCTCAAAATCGGTATAATGTGCATATGGGAGAGAAGGAAACCATTACTGTGGGCATCAATTTGTTTGAACTCGAGATTTCGTCGTTGGTGTCTCTGACATATGGCTTCTGCGATGAAAGCAGAATCACTTTCGGAGTTGAAAGATCCCTGTTATGTTGTGATAGATTGGCTATATTGCAGGATTGTATATGCGGTTCATGTACTTCCTATATCTGTCCGACAGACGTTGACAAAATTGGATTGCGAGACCATTTATAAATTTACAGGGAGAGAGGATGAAGCATAGGAGGAACTACTACGAACCACTTAATGCTAATGGTAACCAAAGCTCAATCTTTGATACACCAACGAATCAGGCAATGCACACATTATATTAAATATGCATGTTCCCGCAGTCTGAACGTTCGCTTAAAAATCTTGCCAAATAACAACGAGCACTTTCCCGATATATCTGTGTAAAAACTTGAACAGGATCATCAACACTTTGTACTTTTACTAGAAATCCTTTCTTCATACATTTAGCAGCTGACATATTCCGTTCCATTTTTATAAAAACTTTCTTTATACGTTTTTAGTATAGCGGATAACTAAGTTGCACAAATGCCAGGTTACTTCAGTTACGACAGGATTTTCGCTATCAATGACCCCTGTAATTCATAATATGTAAAGGCCGCAGTCGGCAAAAGTGACAATTGAAAAAGTGCAAAAGAGATTTACTGATATTTGATATCGTTGTAAATTTAAATGCGTTTCCTTCAAGGCACGCATAAAGGTATACATTAACGCATCCTTTTCAATTCTGATGTTACAAGAGAGGTATATATTTGGTTTGCATAATGTGTGTAACCATAACATTTCAGGCTTTTAGCACATGCTGTCAAGTAATATCCGTTACGGTATTGCCGACAACCGTCATGGCTATGTCCGGTAAACTTGTGTTAAGGCCGCACTACCTCAAAGCGATCCTTTCCATGCACGCTGACCTGAAGACACACGACCGACTTTACCTCGGAGCGCACTGCGCTCACATGATCGCAGCGGCCCATGCGGCCACTTTAACGCATCTTTCTCCTGCCACCACAACATGAACCACATAAACACCACACCTCAGCGAGTGCAACAAACACCGAACCTACAAAATTGGCTGCTACCACTGTTTCTAGGACTCTCAGGCAGGACTTCGCGAAGAAAACACCGGCCCTCATTTTGCCAACATCTTCTGCCACCAGGGATGATAACCCTTAATTCTGTATACAACAAACCACTCATTCTGGCCGCTTTATATCATCTGTTTACAAGAGGGGATTAGGTCCAATTTTAGCGTTCTGACAACACTCTACGTAGTTTCTGTAGGACCATTTCATCAATGTTTCTCAAGAAGTGTAAGGCCTAGTCCACATTCACTGAAGTAACTTTCGAGTCCTGCGTTGTATTGGGAAGTGTATGCATTTTATTACAGTGAGACTATAAAATATGAAGACTATAAGCTCGAAAAACAGATGAAGGAATTTTTGGGACTCGGAACTATTCGGGAAAGCGAAAGTTCTTAAAGTCTGCATTTTCCCGTCATTGAGAACGATATTTGAAGAAGAACTAAATGACTACTCAATGTCTGCGCGAAGAAGTACATTTGATCGTAGTTTCTTAAAGATAATTTTGAAGCTAAAAGGTGATCAGGAAAGGTTTTAAAATTTAGCTTACGCATACACTCAGCTTTTACGAAGTGTGATCTTTGTACGCAGTATCAAAGAAGCCAAGTCAAAAATCACCATCGTAACATGCCTGACATATATGTGGCATTAGGCTGCGGATGACAATTATTAATATTCTGCATATAGTAGATTGGCTAGCTCATGAATTATCAACCGAAATTCCGATATGCGATGTCTTTTAAAAAGATTACTTAAGAAGTGCTGTTAATCTTATTCATTGCAACATAACTTTTCAATAAATCGGTCACCTCGGCAAGTCTTTCGATGCAAAAAAATAGAATTATATTTAGTAAAAATATTTACCGAAACATGATTTTTTTATTCGGTGGGACATTACGTATGCATAAAAATTTAATCTTCAAAAAATGAGTATAATTTGATCTATATATAAACACTCGAACGAAGGTCTAATTCGGTGTTTATTACTTCCCGTTCCCCGAATAATTTAAAGTGGACCTGCCGTTAAGAACGCATTTAGTGGTTCCAAACTGCAAGCTGTACATTTTTTCCGCATACGTAAATTATAAATTTCTATACTGTGTTATTGGGAGACTATATGAGGTTGATAAATTAAAGCAATGGATTGAAGACATATGATTGACTTTACAAGTGATACTGGTAAATGCAGAGACATGAAGTTTTGTGAACGTCCATTTCACGGCTTCTAAACCCTCACAACAATGGATTCATTATAATCGTGTTATAGCCTTCATTTAAGAACGAAGTTGGATGAAGACGTCATTTTCTACCGCATGAGGAAAAGAACAAATATTCACACATATATACTGTATGGCATGTTATTGAATTTATAGGGGCATATAAAATCCATGTAATAAATGATGATATTAGGTAGTCATTTTTACGGCGTGTAGTTGTCATATGCGGTCGGAAAGATGTTCGTTCGAAAGCCAGCTTCCCGCCAGGAGTGATCTCATAAAGAATTTACAGTCCTTCTTAATTAATATGCTCGAAACGAAAACGCATTTCTGAATTTCGGTTGATATTAAATGAGTTGATCCACCTGCTGTACATAATCTGTTTTTAGTTGCAAATGAATTCCACAATTTTTGCCACCACTCAATTACATTGCTTACTGATCGTAACGACCATGACGGCTAAAACAGAAGGAAGGTGTACGTTAGGGTAGAATATATTTGAATATTTGAGAACACCTGACTGCTCCCCTAATTTTCGCCGTCACGTGTACAGGCACTCATGAATGCTAGATCAGTGCTGAGTTTATGCACGCGTGTGCTATAGCACAGTTTGTGATCTGCGGTGCTTTGGTATGCATCACGAACACCGTGGCCGTCTTAAACGATACAAAACGCGCGTCTCTTCTGCAGTCAAAGGTGGCGATAACAACTCGTATTCTTTTGCGCGTGGTATTTTTACTGTAAGATTGACCTCTCTGGCAGGTCAGAGCGTCTGAGATGGCGCAAAGCACAGCCGCAGGGACTCTGACAGTCAATGCAGCTGGGCGCCGACTGTTCAGCGCGGATATCCCTTGAGAGAGCTAGTTACACCCGCCCATCCGACTCTGCTATTCAAGGCGCTCAAAACACACAAAATAAGGACTCTTCAAACTTAATGTTGCCTTGGAGCGAAATTTCTGCCCGCTGGAGGCGGTCACAAAGCAAAATGTCAGCTGAGCACTGATCAACTGGAGATTGGCTACGCAATTACTAGAGACACTGACAATCGCATAGGGGAAACATTGCGACTGCAATTATCGTACGGGGCGTAGAGATGGATTTTCTGAGACGATACCTTAATCAAGCTCTTTCTTCTGCTATTTAAGCAATATAAATTTAGGGAATAATCTAAACAAACCCTATTTTGAACGAAAATGTAAGTCTAGTTTGTGTAAGATGTGGTTTGCTAGCGCCATCTGATGGATACCATACAGTGAGGGTAGAGGTGCAAGTTAGGGGTTAGGGTTAGGGGCTATGGCTACGGCTTTGAATTAGAAGTTATAGTTAGTTGTCAGGATTAGGAGTAATGGTTATTCCTAAAATTGCTTCTAAACAAATGTTTACATTAGTTACATGAGTAAATGTCTATCCAAAGAACACAGAAACACATTCTGACACAGTTGATAAAGGGTGAAGTAAAAAGCCTAAATGGTGCAATCGCCGCACACATGATTGTTCCCAGGCAAAGTTTAGACCACAGAGGAATTTCCCGTCTTACTTGCACTGTCTCACCAAATTGATGTAAGTTACTCGGACAGCGTCTGGCAGCACAAAAAAGGTCACCGTCATAAAGCTATGAAAGCCGGTCTCATACGCACAGAAGAATCTGGTACAAGCTCCTCCACGTGTACAGCGAGCAAAGGTCGGTTAAATGCATGCACGGCTCCGCGACCTCTCTCGCCAGCCGTATCGTGCATAACATACGTCTAATTCCCGTGAGATTGGGATTCAGCTTAAGATTAGGTCGAGAGTTAAGCTAAGAACATACCGAAAGTACGCTTCCTGCTATTAAGCGAAATGCCGCTTACGTTTCAGACACGATTAGACGGTAATTGTTCACGTCTCTTACCAGCATCAGCGAATGCATCTAGCGAGATTTAAGACTGCTTCCGATGAGGTCCAAGAAAAATAAGAAAAAAAACATATGTATAGAGAATACGCTGGTAATATTTCATGTAAACCTACCATATAAGCGCTCCAACAAATCTTTTTCGTAAACCCCTAACATGAATCAACTCCACAAATCTTAGAAAATGATTTCTGAAATCTCATGGCAAATGTAGACTTCTGCCCAAAGATGTTTCCTTCCACGTCATATTTAATGGTAAATTGTTGTTAGGGGATCTGTTGGTGTAAGTGGTTTTAGTTGTTTTAGTTCTCTTGACAAATGTTTACAAAAAAAGTAAAGGGGCTGTAAGTGATTAATAAGGGAATATGCATCCAGCTACTGCTATCGGCATGCCAATTTCTTTGTCACGCAATTTACCGTTTCAGTCAAAATCGTGTTTTATAACTGATAGGACAACACCCGAAAAAAAATTCTTACAAGCACAAAATTCACTAAGCAGCCCTATCATCCACACTGAGAAATTGGCCACTATTGTCACGTCAAATGTGCTCTTAATACATTTGTTTAATCTGCTCTGTTTCATCTTTACGATTCATGCGACGTATACCGCTTATCGGTTGTTCATGAATTAAACATACAACCTTTAACTGTCTCTAAGTCAAATTGCACAATTTTCGCGATAAGCATAACGCATTCCAAATTGACAGATATTGGTATTACCAGGGTTGGTGACCTCTCGCCAAAACAGCCTTTTGAAAAATAAACAGAAGCAAAGTGGCCGTCATCAAGTGCCCCATCAAAATATACAATATAATTTGTCTCTTATCAAAATAGTTGATCTAGACACCCACGTTTGGAGTAACGCACCTAAAACATCGACGGCATATTTCTTAATAAATCAGAAACGCACGCTCCTTCCATCCCTAGGAGTATTAACTCATGCCTTAAACATGCCCTCCCAAATTACTCTAAATATACTCATTATCACGAACTTTTCTTCTCCTTGGCTGATGATTGCATATGCAATCCTAAAAATTTAGCCATCAGCAAATGACCAGGAGTTTAATCGACAAGAAAATGAGGTGGCCGTAAACACGAGAAGGACTGCCCAGCCATGCTTAATACCTGCGTACCCAGTGGGATCAGCTGGACGTTCTCCAGACAGGAACACGCTGCCGGAGTACTGTCAGCGCACACAAGGCTACAAGTCCATGAATTGCCAAATCTGGGCATAGGAGACGCAAAAAACCTAAGAGCCTAATTTTGGTCTTCTCTTGGATGAGTGACCTCTCGAAGAACACGCGTTTGAAAAATGATCAGAAGAAAAGTGGCAATCACCGAAACTCCCATCAAAGTTTACAATACATTTTTACTTTAATTAAAATAATTGGACCTATACACACATTTAAATCGACGATCCTGAGACGTTGACCGGATATTTCTTAATAAATCTGAAGCGCACGCTCCTACCATACCTTGGCGTATTGAATCATATCGTAAATCGTCCATCAAAATAAATGCGATATAGTGATATTTACGAACTGCTTCTTTACTAAGCTTGATGATTATATTTTCAATCCTAAAAATTCTGCCATCATCCAATTATCAGGATTTAAACCGAAAAAAAGAAAAAGGAGGTCAGAAACAAGTTAAGGACTGCCCAGTGCTGCTCAAGACCTGTATATCAGGCGCCGGAGTATTGTCAACGTACACCAGGCTAAGTGTAGTCATAGGAGACGTGACAAAACAGTAAGGCCAGATGGAATTCATAAAGAGCGGAATATAGGCTGGGTCGTCACCCTTCGAAAGGCCGTGTAACTAGTCAGTCATAGAATGAGAGATGCTGCCTAAATTTCAATCCGGACAACTACTTGTTGAAGCGATGAACCTGAAGTCTTGACTACATATTCCGAAGCCACAACTATGCCCTGGAGTACTGAACCCATTCAAATAAATCTTTTATGCTGGTGTTTACGAATCACTTTTCCCTTGGCTTGAAGATTAGCTTTCCAATGGTAAAAAATGTCGAAATCAATTTGTTTACGTAAAAAACAACAAGATTCGCATGGTCTGTTTCCTGCAGGCACGTTTTCATTAAACCTGATCATAATCTGCCTCCAAAAAACTGCACTTTCATTGGATATTCTCGTACTATGACCTATGACAAAGCGTAAGAATGGTAACTTGGGTTAGGAGCTTCAGAATACCTACATATGCTGTTCTCATATACACTATTTCATTTCAGTCAAACAAGCTTTACTCGACGCCTCGACTTACAGTTTTCAAATAGGAGTAAAGGAAACCAAAGATGTTCCATCTCAACATGTTATTCTCTGAATTGTCGACATTACGTCCAATCCAAACTAATAGTGATCTTACAGCGCATTGACCGAGGGTGTAACTGTATGGGAAACGCAACCCGTCACCAGGCCGTTTCAGCAATCCCATGCCCTTAGTCTTCGCAGCAAGAAGGTGGGACTGCATATTCATATTTATTTAAGCATCAGGTGCACGTGTCCCAAATACGTGCTAAAAGTCTGCATTTCCTACGAGACCGCATCATTTTTGTGAAAACCCCGGATGTGTTTACACATCCGGATGCAAATAATCGTCCTAACAACCGCCTGCGTCCTCTTTCACCTGCGGTCTTTGTGATACTTTTGTTACACCGATCACAGGTCGAGTGTGGAGAAGAGATTGCGGTTAATTCCAAGCCAGTTTCACTTCCATTATAAAGGAACTCAAACGCAAGTCACTGTTGCTGCTTTCAACCTGCTGTGGACATCGTCGTTAGCAACGATTATTGAACAGTTCTGTGTGCGCAAATGAGGAGCGATGCTTTATAATTGGTACAAGCGGGCCGAAATCCATGACTGACAAGACTGCCAACTAAGGGGTAATGCGGTCCTCCAGAAAGGATAGTGGATAAGCCTTCAATGTTGGCTTTAGGCAGTCCTACTCAATTGGGATCTGAGTCGCTCTTGGCATTTTTTCGTTCTCTCTGCATATTCTACACCATGCTTAGATCGGAGCTACCGATAAGACGATTTTCGACCGCATTGTCGCTTCTGGGATGCACAAGGATATCAAAGCAGTAATACAACCGTGTCTCGGCTATCAACGAAACAAGGCTCAGCGACAGAACAAAGTCCGCGTCGGAATCTTTACTGAACCTGATCCCAGACTCGACGGAATCCAAATAGATATGTTAGACAAGGTGAACTTAGTCATGAAACGTCAACTGCAATTCGGAAATGCATTTCCGTTTTGAAAAGATTAATTGAGTGGTCACAAAAAGAATGATCATGCAGCAAAATCCAAGGATGAATCAGATACCTCAGGATACCTTCTTCTGAACGACTGCATGCACGAATTACTTCCAGCAAAAAACGATTACTTTGGTATCATACAATTTTATCTTTGATGCTCGATGCCCACGAAAATTCAGTCATAATTCATGAAAACAATGTGTAGAAGTATTCATTCTTTGCTAATTCGTTGGCAAATTACGCCCTCATCCAACTGTATATTCGACGGAAGTGTATAATTCGGTTTTAAAAACTTTTATAATTCCGAATATTATTGAACCCCACTTACTGTTATAATTGCATGCGGGGTTTCAAGTGCGCAAGCCGTGTTATTTTCGTGTACGAAACTCCCTATATTTTCCTAGGGTATTAAAAGGATATTATATGCGCCTCACCAAATTAAGCCGTGAATTTGACGAATATTGTCAACTTTACATCCCACATTAGTAAATGCAGATTCATAACGTTGTATGAACGTCCACCTCACGGTATAAAAAAATCTCACAAACAGAAGCTTATCACAATCGCATCGTACTCGTTTTTCGAATATACAATTAAAAGCAGACGCAATTTTCTAGCGCATAGGTAAAGGAATTAATAGTTTCATAAATTTTTGTGCATGCAATACATTTGAACTTTTAATAACATTGAGAGTAAAAGAGAAAGTTGAATGCTGCCTAAATAGTTAATTTTACCAGCATCGTTGGTTAATGCAATCGAAAATACTTTCATTCAAAAGAAGACACCCGGAGGTAAATGGATCATTATAGAATTATGCAAGATGTTGGTGAAATTTACAACCATATTTAATTAATCTTTTTGAATTTTCCGCCGACATTTTTTGAGTCCGCCAAATAATTTTAGGTTATTTGGCTCTGTCCAACAGTTGCTCCTGTCTCCTCACCTGTGTGGATCTTTTCACTAGGTGACCATAACGTTCGCCGTCATGGTTGTCTCTCAGTAGATAAAGACGTTCAACATCAAGCGCAGAACTCGCGAGGTCGTCATGTGCTGATGTCATGGACACTTCTTCGGTCTAGACTCGTAGTGCTCCTTCACCGTACCATCCTCTATTTTCCATCTTGTTTCTTCCCTTTTTCTCAATTTCCGCTGCCGTTGACTTAAACCTTCTTATAAATGCCAAGCACGAAATCAGAATTGTAATCCGGTTTTAACTTTTTATCTTCATTAATAACCCGCAGTGGGCATTACATTCATTTTTCTGACCGCCCATTACTCATATTGGAAATTCCACATATTCTTCCGGGTCGTTCTAGCACGCCTTCCGGGCTCGGCGGTACTGCTCCAAGGTGTCAGACGAACGTGACTTTACCTTTACTGGTTGTTTCGATAAACAGACACAGAGTCGTGCTGCACCGCACCTTTTCTCGACCATTAACCTTATCTGCGACTATTTGTGATGATGGGTTGGAGTAAGAATCCGAAATGGTGGGCCAGAAACTTTCTTGTTCCAGTGATCGCATATTCGTCTTATGGAAACAGACCCGTTGTAGTTTCGTCATAGGGCGGGTGTTTTAGAAGTTCAAGTCGTTTGGGGCTTGATCATTAATATGTACACAATTAACCAATTTACCGTAGATGAGCTAACTCATACCGTCCACGGAAATTAGGAAATGCATTTCCATTTGCATACGATTAATTAGGTGTGGTAGCAAAACCAATCATAACGCAGTATAATTCTCTAATAACGCGGTTACCTCAGATTGCCGGCTGCATGCGCAAATCACGCTCTGTAAAAAGAACACTTAATCAGAATACGTCTCTTTCACTTATTGACGATGTCCTTAAAATTAATTTAATTTTCATTAAAAAAATGCATAAGACATATCTATTCTTTTACTCATATGGTATAATCCTACGTACCCTTCCACATGTATGCTGAAACGGTTAGTATCATTTGGCTTCAAGAAGTATCATATTGTGAGAGTTTTTAATAAAGAGAAATGGCCGTTCATGAAACGCCATGTCTCTGCAGTTAACACTGTGGCCGGTAAGGTCAAGAATATGACTTAAATCCACTATTAACATTCATAAATTCCTTACATTCTCCACTCAAAACCGTAGAATAATATATGGTTTTCCATATGCAGAAAATATATGGTTTGCAAGTCTAAAAGCCAGATTGCAATTATAAAGACAATCAGGTTCAAAATAAGTAGGCAGTAGAAAAAAATTTTAAAAAGCGAATTATGTCCTGTATTTGAGTACCATATTTTAAGACAACTGTATTATTCCAAATGAACATACACATGAATATGTTATGGATGTGCTTTATGCAGTATAACGGATTATTTAAGGGCTTCAAAAATCGATGCGTAAAATGCATGCTATTTACGTTTCCATTTTTGCAGACATTCTATTTAGCATACAGCAGAAAATAAATACATTCAAAAGCTGGCATTCCAGGGTAACTGAATTATCTTAGAAATGTGCTATTTAATGATTAGCATTTAACCTCGTTTACTTATGATTTTCGAAGTAGAAACGTAGGTAGGAATTTCGGTTAACATTTCGTGAGTTTGCACACCTATTCTATCTCTCTACGTAAATCAAATTTGGCCATATATGTGTTTGAAAAATGTATCAGTCAACCTGTGCCATGCTGTCAACATTTTATCAAACTTCAGCAAACACATACGTATAAGACCATAAAATATTAAAGAAAAAATGTATGCGACTTAAGCAGTCGTTTTTTGCTGAGTATGAGGTCTACAGAAGATTAAGAATAAGTACATTGACAGTCGAAATAAAATAGGTCAAGTCTGATATGTTATAGGATAATACTGCAATATATTCAGTATTAAAAATTCACCTAAGTAATTCTTTCTAATCGAAAACGCATTTCAATTTAGGTTAGCATTTTATGAGGATGGTCGCTCACCGTACTGCATGAGTGCATGATTGCATACACTAATATGGTTTCAAGGCAAATGCGTGCTTTTTAAATATAGTTATCCACCGCAGGTCTCATGTATCTTGTCAGAAACTTTTTCTAACTAGCAGGAAATCTAAAGGAGCTCGTTAGAATGCTCTACATGAAGCAAAACGGATTCCATCAGTATTTTTTTATTTTTCTCCCCAAAACAGCATTATCTGCGTTTAAGAAGTTTAATTGCCAGATCGGGAAATGCCCACACAAAATTATCGTACTTGTCCGCCTAGCAATTTTTCTCCTGGATTACGGAACACAGATCAAGAAGACAACAAGTTTGAAGAATGCCGATATTACGGTTTACGCAGACAAATAGAAATGACTTGTAAAGCGCAATTAAACCCGCCCAAAAAGGGGATGAACACTAACAGCAAAAATTCCTAGAGCGGATGTTGATATGCAAAATTTATGTATAAAACTAATATAATAAACGAATCAGAAAAAGCATACAAAACCAGTTCAAATGACTGAAAAGGTCTCATGCATGAAGATTTTACACGTGCAGGCAGGTAAACGGAAATAGTGACAAATTATGCATTGCCGAATCGATCATTTTGACGTCAGATTACCTTTTCCAGAGTCCGATCGCAGGGGCGTTTTCAAAACTTAATCAATATACCGAAGGCGGAGGAGGGTGGGGTTGGTGGGGGAGGGGGGGTGTTGGCACGACCGAACCCGCATTAGAACGCATCACAACGTCCCGTGATTGACAACAAACAGGTTAACGAAACTTTCGAATAGCAAGTACAACAATTGAAAGAAAATCGAATCCAGGGCAGCCATGCACATGACCTGTTTCCCGGCGGGAACGCAGGCGCACCTACCGTCAGGGAGCCAAGCGGCAGAGACCTGTCAGCGCACACTACGCTGCAAGCTTAAGGGCTTGTTGAATCATGGCATGCAAGATACACAAACGCACACACACACGTGCCCAAGGCCTCTGAGCAAATCGCATAGCCATTAATTGCTTCTATGCGCATATTTTTTGCTTATGTGATATTTTTACATAAATGAAGACAGACGTACAGAAAGACAGTTTATCCGCCTTTGAGAAGCATGACCTGCAGTTGGTTTATTGTACTGCTTACGTTGATTCAGCAAATGCGGCTAACGTTGACCTGTCGGAAGGTCATGGAGACGTGTAGGTTATATTATGGCGACTCTTTCCTAAACTCTATCTACTATTGTACCATATTATTTATTTTAGTCTCTTGTTCGTCTACAAGCGTATTTTACATCACAATATGGATTTATATGCATGGGGAACCGTGCACTTCAGCAGTGTAAAATGTATCGAACTTTTTTGCCACTGCATGAATTTTCGTGCAAAAAGAGTGCACTGACAGTGTAGTGCCGGATAGCCAGTATTTGGTTGGTAATAGAACCAGTAGATCTTTCATTTACATTTAATTTTGATGAGATTGGCTTTCAGTGAGTGACTGATTTCATGAAATGTTGTCCGAAGTTCTGATATTCTGAATTTCTGAAATTCAGATTAGAAAGGTTTTTTTGGCGTTGCTGTAAAACTGCTTATCTTCCGGCACGATACACTTATATGGGGGACGTAATTGGATATCGGCTTTAGAATTTACTTTCTTTTCATCTTTCTGTTAAAAGCGTAGTCGGCAATTAGTAACCGCTTAGCAGCATGCATGCATTTTCACATTGATTGTCAGCGGTCCTATGCATTCAAATATGTGTTATTAATGTCATTCGCATACATGTGCTTTTTACTCGAGCCGTACATATTTTACCCGACGAATGTGTATATTAAGGTTTTGAACAATCTTTCCACAACCCAATAATTTTCGAACCTGTTTAGATATTGCATTAGTGTTTGCCGGTTTTTAATGTGAAAAGCGAATTCCTTCCTCGTAAATAAATTGAAATATTCATCTTTGCCTTTAAGGAGATAGTATACAGAGTTTATTAAATTTCGCAGTGAATGCAGACTATGTTGCCCATTTTTAAGGAGCATCTGCAAACGCACATGTACGACTCTGTACGCATACCCGTCGCAAGGGATTAAAAGCTGATATCAACACGTTTATTTAAACCAAAATGTCCCATTTTGCATGGTATATAATTCGGTTACAATTTCATTTCCTAGGGAACAAGTTACTAACAGTTTAAATTGTGCCAGTTTTCTGCAATGTATATTTGATTGAATATAACTGTTAAAAATGAATGTAAGAACGCGTGCACACGACGTGGTGATTGTTGCGGAGTTCGAATTTTGCAAGAGGCCGAAAAGACGTAAATTCAAAAGCCAAAAAGACTGAAAGACAACAGAATTATACGGCAGGTTAAACAACATTACCACATCGATAAAGGCAAAGAAGACTGAAATGTTTATTTCTGGGCAACGTGGCCTTGTCGGTTTCGATCGGGAATATAAAGAGGTGCCGTGCGATCGGTGACCGCCCCCTACCATTGTATATTCCGGATCTAAACCGACACGGCCACGGGCTGGTGTCTCAGTGGTTACAGGCGTGGACTTCAAATAAACAGGCCGTGTGTTGGAGTCTCAAGACTTCCACAATTCGGGGTTGGGTATGACTGGTTGACGACGTCTAATAAGCCAAAAATGGCCATTCTAGTCTTTCTTGCCTTTGTCGGTAATGTCATTATGTCTATATCATGCACCGCTGTGCGTCTCCTGGTTGGACTCGGAAGAGAAGCCATAAGGCACAACGGAACGAATTAGTTCCTTATGAACTACCGGTCAGCGCCAATTACTATATCAACCTCACCTTAATAATCCTTCATAATTGGAGACACCTTTTAGAATTTCGGCCACAATTTTATCGAGTCGGTGAATCACTCAATGGAAATATTTTGCATATTTCGGAATTATTCGAAAGCTTACCTTTATAAGTAATGTGGGTTGTTTGCGCCACCACGTACACATACATTGGCCACGCCTACATTTTAAAGCATTAAGGGACAAGCATTAGTTTTTTCGTCAAACATACCTTGGCATGATTTGCAATTGGTAGGTTGCCTCATAAAATGTAAATCGAATTTCCCACATGCGTTGCTCTTTTCACAATAGTCATAAATTTGGGTTGTACGACTGAGTACTAAGGAATTGCCGGAAATGCTTCACAGCCAGGTAAGTGGCAAGTACTTCACGCCAAAGGTACTGTATCGTGTCTCAGCTGGTAAGAGCTTTTTTGGAGAAAAAGGCAAGTGGTCGAGTCTAACCAGCAATGCGTTGTTGAAGGACTGCACTTACGGCTACGGTCGAAGCATCTACCATCAGAGACAGCTGAGCTTCGGGAGCGGGATGTGTGAGTAAGGTAGCATCAGCAAGGGAATTCTTGATTCTCTCAAAAGCAGTTAGTGTTTCACCAGTTAGCTCGAGGGGACCTTTGGGACAAGAAAACATGTTGGTGAGCGGCAGCATGAGGTCAGCACAGTTTGGTAGGAACCGACAGTAAAAATTGACCATGCCGAGGAATCGCTGTAACTGACGATTGGAAGTTGGAGGAGGAAAATTACGAATTGCTTCAACCTAGGATGGGAGGGATCGCAAACCTTTAGACTCGACCTTGTCACCAAGGAACTCCAGCGAAGGCACACCCAACACGCACTTGGAGGGGTTGATGACAACGCCAAACTTGTCAAGGCGGTCAAACACCAAGGAAAGGTGTTCTTTGTGTTCTTCTTCATTCCGGCTGGCCATTAAGAGGTCATCAATGTAGGCGTACACAAAGGGTAGGCCACGCAATACATGGCCAATGAACCTTCGGAACGTTTGAGCGGCATTACGAAGACCAAGCGGCATGCGGACGAACTCAAAGAGACCGAAGGGTGTGGTGACGGCGGTTTTAGGGATGTCCGCAGGGGCGACTGGAATCTGATGAAAAGCACGCGCCAGATCAATCTTCGAGAAAACCGCTTTGCCAAAAAGGGCTCCAGCAAAGTTCTGAAGATGATGCACGGGGTACCGATCAGGAATGGTAGCGCTGTTGAGGGCACGATAGTCGCCACTGGATCGCCAGTCGCCCGATGTTGCCTGGGGCACCACGTGCAGTGGAGACGCCCAAGGGCTCTCGGAAGGTCGAAATATTCACAATTGCAGCATGTGTTCAAACTCCGCCTTTGCGTCCTGAGAACGCTCCGGTGATAGTCGTCTCGGTCGAGCTACACAGGAGGACATGAGGTGCGGATGTGGTGCACAACATCATTTTGAACTTCACCACTGCGAATCTGTGGGTTAATTATGTTGGGATGACTAAGCAGCAGTTGCCGAAAAGGACTAGCAAAATCCGTATTCAAGACAGATAAGTTGGTAAGGGCAGTAAAGGGAGTTAGTCCACGAAAAAACAAACCGGTAGTGCGGTCGAGGAGACGGGCACGTCGGCAGTCAACAAGGAGTTCGAACTCGGCAAGAAAGTCCGAGCCGAGGATTGTGTGGGAAATCAACAATCAAAAAGATCCAGGCAAATAACCGACGAAAGCAAATGTTCAGGTTGAGGGACGACTGTCAAAAGTGGGAACGGGGGAACAGTTAACAGCTTGAAGATGAAGACCAGGGCTAGGGAAACGACGATCAGCTGCAGTTGGGGGAACAACACTGATTTGGGCTCCAGTGTCCACAAGAAAACGTCTGCGAGTCGCAGTGTCGGAAACATAGAAGGTGCGACCAGAACCGGAACAGCCAGAAAAAACGGTCGCATCTATTCTCTGGCTGACTGGTTTCCCTGTTTCGGTTTAGAAGATCAGGGTGAGGAACAATGACGGGCCTTTACGCCGAAATTAGTGTGATACCATCAAGTATCAGCAGTCCGATGTCGCGAACGAGAACGACGACGGCTGTGTGAGCGACTGGAATCTATGCGGTCGAGCTGTATTTTAAGGGAGGCCATGTCATCCGCCATGGACGAAACCTGTTTCACTAAATTTTCATTCACTGACGATGAAGATGAGGAGATCTTGGCAACGGAAGGTGGCTGGAATCGCTGCACCTCTATTATTCGATCCGCCATCTCACCCAGCTATGAGACCGTAAGGCCTTCAGAGGCGGAAGCCAGGATCGCTTGAACATCTGCGGGCAGACGGTCTAGGAAAATGTCCCCGACGAATTTATCGTCTACTTCCATGTCTCCAAAGAGAGATCGCATTCGACATGGATGCTCTGAAGGCTTCCGATCACCCAGTGACTCCTCCTTAAGTAACTGGTGATACCGCTGTCGGTCAGATACAGAATTAAGTCGTAGAATTTCCGCCTTTAACGTGGAGAAAGGAGCATCTACAGGTGGATTAGCTAGCAAGGAGTGAACTTGAGAGATGACACTAGCGGGGAGGACCTCCACAAGTTTGTGGTATTTTGCTAGTTCCTTGGTAAGGATGGCAGAATAAAAGCCTGATTCTATGCGGATGAAGTAAAGTTCTGGAGCGTATTGCCAGAATTTAGGCAAGGTAAAATTGATTGCATGAAGGAACTGGGCGGAAACATCAAGTTTTTGATTGGAGTGAGACATAATTAGAGAGAGATGGCAAAATATCAGAATTCGTGAGGAAAGTAAATGTAAATTGGATAGATATTCACAAACAAAAAACGTTAAATCTTATGCAGTACGACAGAAAGTTATAGTGTGCGTTAACGGCGGGAGTTATCAATGTCGTAAGAGGTAATGTTCTCACGAACTAGCGAGTTATATCTCACTAGCCCCTAGCCTTAAAGGCAGCAAGTAAAACGGAACAGTGAATAATATAGATATTTTGAACGTTAAGAAAACTTAACAATAGAGCACGGAACACGGTAGCAAGGCGGGTTGTACAGGTGTGTCGTTTCTCGTCACATTCAAACAAGCAATGCGGTCAAAGAAAATGGGACTTAGTTGTCAAAGGTAAATTAGTCAGGTACCTCACCACTTGGTTATCATACAGCGTATGTCTACAGCAATTTAATTACCCCAAAATGCGGCCTTTTGAACGGAGTTTTGTCCGGTTGCATACAAATGCCGCACTCTGTATCAAGTGAATACATTAAAAGGAGACATTTTTCCCATTGGTGTTCCGTGCCCATAATAATTCAATTATATTGCATACGAAATATTATACGAATATTCAGTCCTTTGCTCATTCGATGGAATACTATGTTTTCTTTCAATGTTTACAGGAAAAAGGAGGATGATTCGGATTTTAAAACTTTCCTAATTCCCCAATATTTTTCTAACACGATTAGCCCTTATACTTGCGTTTTTTAATCTCCAAACTACAAGATTCATACATGCTGCGTGCAGAAAACCATATGTTTCTCCACGGTATTGGAAGAAAAAAATGGAGGTCATAAAACTTATCAGTGTATTTGAGCCATATTGGTGACTTTACAGGCCAAGTTGGTAGATGCAGATACATGAAGTTTTATAAATGGACATTTGGCGATATTAAAGAATCTCAAATTTGAAAACTTTTCAAAACCAGATTATGTCCTTTTTTGAATACAAGATTTGAAGAAGGTGTAAGTTCCTACGAAATAAGAAAAATAATGAATATTATGAATTAAGCTTTGCATAAATATAATTGCATTTTAAGCGTATCACCAATCAACAAGTAAGATGCATGCTGTATAAGTAGTCATTCTTTACAGGGTATATGCTTTTCATGCTGTAAAATATCCACCCAAACGTACGGCATCCTAAACTAACTGATTTATAAGAATAATACGCTGCACGCTGAACAATTATCGATAAAAAGTTTTTTTGTCTTTGATGACGTATTCGAGTAGGAATCCGAAACGTCAGGCTAAAAAAGCTATTGTCCCGGCGATCGTGTCTCATTATTCAATATCTCGAGTTGGCCCACCTACTGCACATCTGTCGCATTTTCGCCTACTCAAAACGAATATGAACGTTGATTTGTTTTATAATTAAACAGTATTTTAACATTTAACAAGCATACCTAAATTGACTTCTACATGTAACTTTCTTATGTCCGCTTAATAAGCCTGGCCACTCTGTCCACGTACCGGAGGGAACGTCTTTATTTCCGATATCTTACTGAATAGAATGCATGCGACTCCCGAAATTTCAGAAGACCTTCCGTACACAGACAACAGCAAAACACAATTGCGAATGATTATTCAGCCTCACTCAGTACTTCGTGCATGCCTCCTTATAAATAATACTGAAAGAGCCGCAATCGTAAGACTTGAATGTACTCTTATTTTTTCACGCATTGACTGCAACGTTCTTCTGAAGGTAAACACTTTTAATTTGATTCGTATTTCTTTATGCCTATAATATGCTATTTTATCGTTTAATTGAAAAAGCCGGTTTAAATTATTCTATATGCGCATTTATCCAGAAAGGCAAAAACCGCCTAGTCACATTTGCTGCTGTTGGAACTGCTTGCTCACCTTAAATATCTGGGGCCTATAACAATTTGTATAAGTTTCCTCTGTATAATTGCAAAGCATGCTCGAATGGTAACAAATATAGCGACCGACTTGGTCTATGCAGAATGGGTCTGCTCTGAAACGCGTCTGACGTTGTATTTATTGTATGTCATATTTGGTGCATGGACGTTGACCTAATAAACTGCTACAAATATGTTTTTGGTATTCTCTGATCTGCTTCATAAAAGTTTATTTCAAGGATAATGAGTAACCTCTATGCGTTGTTGGATTAATAGCTTCGGATAAATGTAAAACTTCCTTATGATATTTAGTGTATCAAATGAGCCAGCGACCTCTGCTTTATGCATTTATTATATGGAAAACGGTGTCCGGTTGCTCTTCCTGGTGCCACACGTATATACCTAAAGCGCTGTTGATTCATTTATGGAATCTGGATCACGACTGACTGGGCTGAAACAAGCTATGGCTATCATAGTATGGCAATCCCTGTTTAACAGGCAAGCTGCCTCACTTAAACGTAAACGTTTAATTTAACGCTGCAATGTCAACCGAAACGGTATAAAAGGAAACGTTTTAACTTTTATTGAAAATACGCGAGCAAAATAGTAGTTTCAAAGGCACTTGCATAATCTATGTCAAATTTATTTCGATGAATGAAAACAAAAACTAAATCGCGCCTAAACTGGGTTCAGGTAAACGATGGCCTGGCTAGGTTGCTTGGACTCCCGTATCGGACAGCGGATTTGATGAAATTTCACCTTCTGAACTTTTCTGCGGTCGCCGAATTTTACATCATTTCGAGTGCGCTGTCAAAGGAAAGAATATTGCATTTTGATGGAATTGTTTATTCCAGAATAGACGCAGGCATCACTCCGGCAAAAAGGACCACTCCATGGCCTGCGGATTTTCGGTGGAGAAGAAAAACCATTAATGAGCTGAACCAATTAGCATCAAATGCGGCTTCTAGCAAGTTATTTTTGACCTGCCGCCTGTGAACTAGAGGTTGCATGTGCAGGCGAACTGCAGCTGAGCGTATGTAATATGAAGGCGAATTGGGATTTACAATCGTTATTCTTTGCTGTGTTCTTTATTTCTGTCTTGGCATAAAAACAATCAAATAATTGTACTGCAGCTTCAACATGAAATGATTTCCGAAAAGACATGCCAGCAATTTTACATTTAGGAATACAGTCTATATTGCAGAAGGTTTTATTGACAGCTTTAAAAATTCACCGGTAGAGATGATATGGACGGTAGAATAGTCGGTTAGGCTAAACCAGAAACAAAAACTGACCCGAATTGCATGAACACTCGCCGTAACGGCTACATCTGATCATGACATATTAAGATCTTCGTAGAATGATTGTGAGTACTTATGACTTATGTATGAAAACCAACAGTGTAGCATCGATTCAAATGACCTAAGCAACTCGTATTGGGTATCCTGCAGAGCGACTTGATCAGATACCACACCATACACGTCGGTCATCCAGTCTGTAGACTTAGCATGCAGCACTTTAAAAAGTCTTTGTTTTTAGTGTGTCCAATGCCCTGGCCTATGCTTGCAGGTCACATTCAGTAGTTTCCATGGAATATGTTCGATAGAGTTGCCTCTCGGATACTCCACACATGTTCCACCACACACTTGGGATTGAATGATATCCAGTTTTCAGGTAGGCGTTTTGACATTTATGCCGCTTCTCCGCCCTTGCGATCTGCACCTCATACAAAAAATGGAAGAGCAGCTGTCCGTATTTGTAAACGACTTAAGCCGAAAGCTATTACCGACGGGATAATCAGCACTGTCTGACCGAACAGTTCGTTAACTCCTCAAGCATTAAACAATGTTGTTGTCCTTTGATGTGGTCTACAAAAATTAAAGCAGTATCACTAATTGCTGCCCGGCGAATTATTAGAAATCATTATTAATCCCCATTTTTGGCGCAAATCGTCTCACGTCGTTCGGCCAGTCTGTGGAATTGGCATGCAGCACTTTCGAAAGTCTTTGTTGTTTGTGTGCGCAATGCGCTAGAAGGTATCTCATGAAGCTAGGCTATATTTGCAGGTCGAATTCAGCTGTTTCCATGGGATATGATCTACAGAGCAGCTTCTCAGACATTCCACGCATGTTGCATGTAAATGACATCCTGTTTTTCAGGAAGACGTTTTGACATCAATTCCGCTTCTCTGTCCTTGCGATTTGCACTTTATCTAAAAATGGGACGGCGGCTGTTCGACGCTGACCGACATGATCACCAGCACTGTCTGAACGAATTTTTAATTGACTCTGTTCGCAATGACAAATATCGCTGTCGTTTATCCTTTTCTGTAAAATGTAAAGCAGCATGGCAAATTGCAGAAGGGCGAATTACTAGCAGTAACCGCCATTCCTCCTTTTTGCCGCAAATCGTCTCATCCTATTGTCTCATTATCTTCAAACGAAAATGTATTTTTAAATTCTGGACACAACCGGTTCATTCACTCAGTAATCCAATATTTTGTTGCTATTTGCCGTGTGCATATTCTGTCTGCTGAATAATTAAACAAGCAGCACACTTTATTTAGCCGGGACGTTTAGTTAAAATTTTAAGAAACAAATGTAATCAATGAGAAGGTTAAGCAATTTATTCATCGTCATGCCCACTTGTACAGTTTACATTTGAACCCAAACGTGCGTCGTATCT